GGGGGGGGGCCAGGTGTGAATGCGGCGGTGGAGGGGCCGAAGCGCACCGGTCGGTGCAGCGGCGGATGAAGGTGCGCTGTGTGCGCACGGGACGCGACCGCGCGATGCACACAGGAGCGGGCCGTGCCGCTGGCGCCCCGTACAGCGATAGGCACACAGGAGCCTGGAGCTTGCCCGCACCGCCGCCGCGCCCACGCTCTTGGGGGTGACCTGCCGGTGCTGCGGCACCGCCAGGCGCGCGTCCGTGCATGCAGGCAGATGCTCGTCGCGCACAAGTGAGCACGCGCTTGCAGCCGAAAGAACGAACGGGCAAAACCTCCTGGGCGGCATTGCCATGAAGCCCAAGATGTTCCTACAAAATTGTACTAGAATTTGATGAAATTTAAGTGAAGTTTCTTTTTAAAAGTTACAGTATGATAACGTAGAAACGAGGCGGTCGCGCGCACCCATGTTGCGAGGGCGTCCCCTAGGCCTGCCACCAGGGTCCTCTTTGGGGAGCGCGCTATGACGGCGGTGTCGACCAGCACCAGGGTGGGGTGGCGGGGCAGCAGCATGTAGTGGTCAAACTTGCCATCTGGGGGTTGTGTGGGGTGTGTGGGGAGAAGTACGTGTATGTGTGGGTGTGTGAGTGTGTGCGTGTGTGTGTGCGTGTGTGTGTGTGTGTGTGTGCGAGTGTGTGTGTGCATGCGTGCGTGCGTGCGTGGGTGCGTGCGTGCGTGCGTGCGTGCGTGCGTGCGTGTGTGTGTGTGCGTGTGCGTGTGTGTGCGTGTGTGTGTGCGGTCTGTGCGTCTGTGCGTGTGTGCGTGTGTGCGTCTGTGCGGGGTGGGTGGGTGTGGGTGGGTGTGCTTGGGGTGTGCAAGCGAGGGGTAAGAGGTGTGAGCAGGCGCCTTGGCATCAGGAGTGTTGCGTCAGGGGGCAAGTGCATGCGAGACAGCAGGGCAGGAGTGAGGGAAGGTGGGGGCGGGGGACGCCTAGGCGACGGGAGCGCGCCCCTGCGACATGCAAAATCGCAATACCTGGGCTCCGCTTCTGGGGTCGATAGGGCGCGTCATACAAAACCGGCAGTGACCACCAATATGCACACAAGCAGCCACCACCATAATCAGCACACCAGCACTCGGCGCGACGCGTAGCCCCCCCGGGGAGAACAGGGGCGCCGGCCCAGCCACGCGGGGCTGCCGCCCCACCTGGTGTGTAGACGACGCACAGCGCGGAGCAGGGGGCATCGCTGGAGGCTGACGTGGGGCAGGACACGAACTCCAGGCCCGCCAGGTGGGCGGCTGCGCGGGCCGTGTCGATGGCCTAGCGGGGCGGGCGGGTGCGGGCAGGGGCATGGCCAGGGTGCAGGCAGGGCGAGGTAATGCAGCAGTCACTCGATGAGTATGTGAGCCGGCGCCCTGCCGGGCACTATACAACGCGTATCATGAGGCGTGAACAGTGACGGCACCGAGGCCTGCGCCGCCCATCGTGGGCGGGGCCCTCAGGTGCGTCCCCAGCTGTGTGCACATGAGGACATCCCTTCAAGCCGAGTGCCCGTGCAGCAGGCGGGGCGCAGCTGCCGCCATCTGCGCCTGCAACGGCGCGGCACTGCCGGCTCGAGGCCGGCCGGCGACGGGCCGGCTCGGCCGTAGCCCGCGCACACCAAGGGGTTGCAAAGGTGCATGTTTGTGCGGTCGCGGTTTTCCCCGGACCCGGCTCGGCCCACCTTGCCGCCGCCCGATCCAATGACGGTCTTGCAGCCGAGGCGCTTGATGGTCTCAACGATGCCCTCGACCTGCCAAGGTGGGGTGGTGGTGGTGGTGGTGGTGGTCTCCCAGTAAAAGCTTGGCTGGTGTGGTGCTGTCTGCATGACTAATTTCGATGTTGTCTGGCTGGGTGGCTCAGAAGTAAAATCTGAGCGACAGGATGGGGCAGTTTGGGTGCAGGCAACGGGTGCGGCAGCGCGGGATGCCTGGAAGCACAACGCATCCAAGCTTGAGGCCAGGGCTCGGGCACGGTCAGCAGAAAGGCCGGGTCGCTCCCTGCCCGCAGGGCGTGCTGGGCCGCCGCGCGCCGACGTGGGCGGCCTGAGCTTTATGAAGGTGGCCCGGGGGGGAGGGGGGGGGGCGCAAGATCACGCACCTCCGTGTCGGTGCACTCGCCCCCGAAACCGTGCTCCACCAGTTCGTAGCCAGCCGGGCCCTGGTGCGCCGTGACGAGAGATAGTTGTGGTGCGAAACGAAAGATGAGCTTGTGCGGCGGGGGTAACGAGCACCAGCCTGGAAAACAGACCGCACACGCTGCCAGCAATTGCAGGAGCTGACTCTGCGCTACCGAGTAGCACGCGCCGGCACTGCCGGTCGTCAGCAAGCCGCGGCTGATCAGCTGCAGGCACGCCGTTAGGGCACCGTCAGGGCTCTCCAGTACGCTCGCGCAAACGTGCCCTGGCGCGGCCGACGTC